GCGTGTACCTGAATTTGACAGGTACCCGCTCCCACTTCCGCGGAGCTGTCCTTCCTTTACTGTGGGCACCCGGCTTCTTCCGCACCGGCATCTGTGACAGCCGGGTGCCCACTGCGCATGTGCAAGAAGCTCTGCGCTTTGTGCGTCTTCTGGGATCTGTCATGAGACGCCGAACCATTCACAAAGCACAGCGCTTCTCGGGCATGTGCAGTGGGCACCCAGCTGTCACAGATGCCAGGGCGGGAAGAAGCCAGCGCGGGAAGACTGCAGCGCTGGACCGAGGAACAGGTAAGAACAGCTGTGCGGCCGGCCCAGTATTCTGACATGGTGGCGGCGGAAATACCGGACTGGCCGCTTTACTGTATATTCGCTCCATAAGACGCACTGATATTTCCCCCCCTTTCTTGGGGGGAAAAAAGTGCGTCTTATGGAGCGAAAAATACGGTATTTCTTTTTTGTCACTGCGAAAGGAAGTGAAGGGAAAAAAAAAATCTTTAATGGGAACAGATAGTGAAAAAAAAAAAACTTAACAGGATGTAACCATTCCCTCTCTATCCCAAACAGAAAACGGATGAAAGCCGCCCTTCCAAGCTACAGTTGGATGCACAGATATTAACCTGAAAGATCTTTTTATCTTGGATCACCCAACTGTGTATATGTATGCAAAAAGGGGATGGAGGGGTGGAGCAGAATTTATCAGTTCATTTGGAGAGGAAACTGCACAGGACAATCTCACAAATCAGTTTGAGTCTTCCACTTATCGCAGGAGTGGGTTTACTGCATTTTGTGATACTTAAAAAATGTATTACGTGAGAAACTAAATAAAGATAAAAATCCCCAAAAAAGTGTTAAAGCGAAGCTGTTATCCTATTGGAGCTTAAACCAACCCAAAAATAGAAAGAGTTAGAGCTGCAATATGTCAAACATGTGTGCAAAATAAAAGTGAAATGTGTGCAAATATAATACTCTTGAAATAAATAAATGCAGTGTCTACAATATACAGTCAGGTCCATAAATATTGGGACATCAACACAATTCTAACATTTTTGACTCTATACACCACCACAATGGATTTGAAATGAAACAAACAAGATGTGCTTTAACTGTAGACTGTCAGCTTTAATTTGAGGGTATTTACATCCAAATCAGGTGAACGGTGTAGGAATTACAACAGTTTGCATATGTGCCACCCACTTGTTAAGGGACCAAAAGTAATGGGACAGAATAATAATCATAAATCAAACTTTCATTTTTTAATACTTGGTTGCAAATCCTTTGCAGTCAATTACAGCCTGAAGTCTGGAACGCATAGACATCACCAGACGCTGGGTTTCATCCCTGGTGATGCTCTGCCAGGCCTCTACTGCAACTGTCTTCAGTTCCTGCTTCTTCTTGGGGCATTTTCCCTTCAGTTTTGTCTTCAGCAAGTGAAATGCATGCTCAATTGGATTCAGGTCAGGTGATTGACTTGGCCATTGCATAACATTCCACTTCTTTCCCTTAAAAAACTCTTTGTTTGCATTTGCAGTCTGCTTTGGGTCATTGTCCATCTGCACTGTGAAGCGGCGTCCAATGAGTTGTGAAGCATTTGACTGAATATGAGCAGATAATATTCCCGAAACACTTCACAATTCATCCTGCTGCTTTTGTCAGCAGTCACATCATCAATAAATACAAGAGAACCAGTTCCATTGGCAGCCATACATGCCCACGCCATGACACTACCACCACCATGCTTCACTGATGAGGTGGTATGCTTAGGATCATGAGCAGTTCCTTTCCTTCTCCATACTCTTCTCTTCCCATCACTCTGGTACAAGTTGATCTTGGTCTCATCTGTCCATAGGATGTTGTTCCAGAACTGTGAAGGCTTTTTTAGATGTCGTTTGGCAAACTCTAATCTGGCCTTCCTGTTTTTGAGGCTCACCAATGGTTTCCATCTTGTGGTGAACCCTCTGTATTCACTCTGGTGAAGTCTTCTCTTGATTGTTGACTTTGACACACATACACCTACCTCCTGGAGGGTGTTCTTGATCTGGCCAACTGTTGTGAAGGGCGTTTTCTTCACCAGGGAAAGAATTCTTCGGTTATCCACCACAGTTGTTTTCTGTGGTCTTCCGGGTATTTTGGTGTTGCTGAGCTCACTGGTGCGTTCCTTCTTTTTAAGAATGTTCCAAACAGTTGTTTTGGCCACGCCTAATGTTTTTGCTATCTCTCTGATGGGTTTGTTTTGTTTTTTCAGCCTAATGATGGCTTGCTTCACTGATAGTGACAGCTCTTTGGATCTCATCTCGAGAGTTGACAGCAACAGATTCCAAATGCAAATAGCACACTTGAAATTAACTCTGGACCTTTTATCTGCTCATTGTAATTGGGATAATGAGGGAATAACACACACCTGGCCATGGAACAGCTGAGAAGCCAATTGTCCCATTACTTTTGGACCCTTAATAAGTGGGAGGCACATATGCAAACTGTTGTAATTCCTACACCGTTCACCTGATTTGGATGTAAATACCCTCAAATTAAAGCGGACAGTCTGCAGTTAAAGCACATCTTGTTTGTTTCATTTCAAATCCATTGTGGTGGTGTACAGAGCCAAAAATGTTAGAATTGTGTCGATGTCCCAATATTTATGGACCTGACTGTACACAGCTCAAAAAAATTAAAGGAACACTTTTTAATCCGAGTCTAGCATCAAGACAATGAAACTCCTGGGACATTGATCTGGTCAGGAAAGTAGCAGAGGGGGTTGTTATTCAGTTTCAGCTGCTTTGGTGTTAATGAAATGAACAGGTGCACTAGATGGGCAACAATGAGACAACTCCCAAAACTGGAATGGTTTTACAGGTGGAGGCCACCGACACTGTTTTCCCTACTCATCTTTTCTGACTGTTTTTCACTAGTTTTGCAATTGGCTAGGGTCAGTGTCACTACTGCTAGCATGAGGCCATACCTGGACCCTACAGAGGTTGCACAGGCAGTTCAACTCCTCCAGGATGGCACATCAATATGTGCCATTGCCGGGTTTTCTGTGTCTCCCAGCACAGTCTCAAGAGCATGGAGGAGATTCCAGGAGACAGACAGTTACTCTAGGAGAGCTGGATAGGGCCAAGGAAGGTCCTTAACCCATCAGCAGGACCGATATCTGCTCCTTTGTGCAAGGAGGAACAAGATGAGCACTGCCAGAGCCCTACAAAATGACCTCCAGCAGGCCACTGGTGTGAATGTCTCTGACCAAACAATCATAAACAGACTTCATGAGGGTGGCCTGAGGGCCCGACATCCTCTAGTGGGCCCTGTGATCATTGCCTGGCACCATAGAGCTGGATTGGCATTTGCCATTGAACACCAGAATTGTCAGATCCGCCACTGGCGCCCTGTGCTTTTCACAGATGAGAGCAGGTTCACCCTGAGCACATGTGACAGATGTGAAAGGGTCTGGAGAAGCCGTGGAGAACGTTCTGCTGCCTGTAACATGGTTCAGCATGACAGTTTTGGTGGTGGGTCAGTGATGGTCTGGGGAGGCATATCCATGGAGGGACACACAGACCTCTACAGGCTAGACAATGGCACCCTGACTGCCATTAGGTATCGGGATGAAATCCTTGGACAGCAGTGTATATAAGCATAACCCAATCAAGAAATAAACAAAAAATACAATGTGTATGACCAAAGCATAACTAACAAACATGTGCAATATCTGTGAAAAAAAGTCTGTGCACATTCAAGAGTATTCAAACAGTCCCTCTGTAACTTAAAGTGGAACTTTAACTAAAAAAATAAAAATTAGCAGACAGGAATTTTAGTGCAGAAGAGACATGCTTTTAATGCAAGCGCAGCTCACTGTATAAACTTGGCATTGCTGAATGTGATAGAACTCCTGCGTATGCATGTAAGTGACGTAATCTCCACCCGGCCAATGACAGCAGCAGTCAATCGAGACCTGGAAGCCGGCCACTCGAAGATGTCAGTGGCCAGGCGGGTAGCAGAGGGATGCTGCATCGCTGGAACTGAGGTGAGTATAGTTCCCCTTTAATTCAAATGAACAATGAATGCTTCTTTCCTATTTCTTCCACCAGCACCAACATCATCCACCACCATGAAATACAAAATGAACTCACCAGAGGTAAATGCTGGTGTGTTAAAGACCAGCATGCAGCACATCCCCTCTGGGAGTAATAATCTGCAAACGCAGCAAGATCCTCAGTATATTCACACAATCATCCGTATAGTATGCAGTACCACGATCACCAATTTTTTAAGAGGGAGGAGGAGCTCACATAGCATAAGATCCTTAAAACATTTTTTGTTTTTAAATCAGTATACTCACATTTTGATGTATCTCCACTGACACAAGTGAACAAGCATACAATTGAACCAGGCTCACTCTGACCGACCTGGCTGCGAGTGTACAACACTAGCACACGTTTTCATGTCATGTCTTGGCCCCGTCATACGCGGTTCGTCATCTAATGTCCTCCAGGGGTGGTAGGACATGCACCACAAACCACCTGTTTTTTTTTACACATCTTGAAAACATATCACCAAATAAAAATACAAACCTTAAAGTGTTACTAAACCCACAAAAGTAAAATCAGTCTGTATATGCATTAAAGCATGCTTATTATACTCACTGTGGAACCTAAACTAAATATTCTTGATGCTTTGACCAAAGGTTAGATGGGGAAGATTTTTGAAAAAAAAATGGAAAAAAAAGAATTTTCCATCACAGAATTACTAATTTTTGCAGGTTACATCTTGTAAAATGTAAGTAAACATGTTTTTTTTTTTTTTTTTTTATTTCTCTTTAGGTAAAGCTAGGAGGTGATGCTCCAAATTCAAATGTTATTCACGTTAACGACAAAAACAACTCCTCGGGAAAGCCTGGCACACCATGTCACCTTCTAGACTTTGCCAGCTCAGAGCGCCCTCTTGTTGTCAACTTTGGATCAGCCACCTGACCTCCCTTCATAAGCCAGTTGCCAGCCTTCAGCAAGATGGTGGAAGAGTTCTCTGGAGTGGCCGACTTCTTGTTGGTCTACATCGATGAGGCTCATCCTTCAGACGGCTGGGCAGCTCCTGGCATCTCCTCTTATGAAGTGAAGAAGCATAGGAACCAAGAAGATCGTTGTGCTGCTGCCAACAAACTCCTTGAGCAATATTCCCTCCCCCCACAGTGCCAGGTGGTTGCAGACTGCATGGACAATAACACCAACGTGGCCTACGGGGTTTCTTTTGAAAGAGTGTGCATTGTACAGAGGCAAAAAATTGTGTACCTTGGAGGTAAAGGGCCATTCTTCTACAACCTCCAGGAAGTAAGGCAATGGTTGGAACTCACATTTGGAAAGAAGGCAGGAAGTGGACAAACTGGCACAGAAATGACTAACGATGAAGGAATAAGACAGAAAACCAGTCTATTTTTGTTATAGTACATTCACATGACTATAGAAGGACCTAAAGCTATGGATGTTCAGAAGGAAACTTTAAAAAGGACCAAAAGGCAGGAAAATAACCACAAAAAGTTTACCGCAAGAAGCCACAACCCAGATGTGTGAAATTATCCTCACTGTGACCCTTGTTTCTGGCAGACCTCAAACCGCTGTGTTTTCACTCTTTTAAAAACAATACACAGCAGAATCTAGGCCGAATTTTGGAAGAAGAGGGTGTGGTAAAAGCTGCACGATGAAGAACCACACTAAAAAATAAATAAATATACACATCTAAGAAGGGAAAAGTCACAATAGTTTCAAAAATCTAACAAAGCAGCTGACACGGAGCTCACATCTGACAGCTGTTGGAAATCTGAGTGAACTTCTGCTGTTCCTGGGAAACTTTGTACGGAGATGACATCAAGCAAGAAGAGGAACGAGCAGTCCACACCCCCTCTGTTGCATATTTATTCCAGTTTTTCAGTGATCAGGTGTAGCGCATGTTATTTATTGTGTTATGATTCTGCAGGATGTCTGTTGCTGTAGATCCAGGAATGACACAGTTACCTCAACAAGGATGTCCTCTACTCTTCCAGCAAAAAGAAAAAGGACTGCAGGTTCTAATTATGTTAGCTGCAGTAGAGTTCACTCATGACTTGTAAATGTTTTCATGTGTGAACCCAGAGGAACATAAATGCTATCATAAATATGCCTCCAAAGGGCTATATCAAGGCCTGTGCAGTGACAACTGTGGCACCAATTAGATGCGTGCTCTAGGAAAAATTCTGACAAAAAAAGACACTAACACTCCATTAAAAGGTCTAATGTGGGTCTGCAGGGCACACTCCAAAAAAAGCCTTCCCAGCACTGTGCAATCTAGATGTACAGTCCTTGTTTATAGACGAAGGACCAGTCTACAGCCATAAGGTCACCTCCAACAACAACTCTGTCCAGCTAGAATTACACACAAGCTCTTTCACAGAAACTGATCTTGACGACTTACAGTGAAGGTAGAACGCCTCAAACTAGCCTCTAGATTAGTATTATATTCTGCATTAAAAAATGAAAGGATTCTTGGACACATAAGAACTGGCCTTGCTATCTTCAATCAATAGGAAATTACATTAGATATGATAGATTTATTGACAGGGCAGCTCTCGGCACCCACTGAACTAAGCCCATGAACATGGATAGGCCTAACCACGATTGGGCTTCATGGCGCCACAAATCTAAAACATAAAAAAGTATTATAGTGAAATTTGTGTGTGCTCAGAATTAGACACGTTAAGGCAAAATGGGCCCTAGGCAAGGTGTCAACTTTGCACCCAACTTCCCTTCTCTGTGCAATTGGCACAGAGAAGTTATCCTATTTGCATTGTCTGTACTAGTATGGCCCTATCAGCCATGTACATTTTCCCTTGTGGGAAGACAGACAGATGAACTGTGCAACTCCCCTAGTTACTACATAAGCAGTGAGGTTGTAGCTGGAAGCTGACCCTTGCCCTCCTTGGCATCCACCGGGTCCTAGGTTCCTGCTACGGTTGCTCCGGGGACGATCTTGTCCTGTTTTCTGTTCAGGAGTGCTGCTCCATTACAAAAGCCAAGGGTAGTGCACCTTTGCAGAAGAAACATTATAAAACATTTGTGCTTGCAAATCCATATGTACACAATGACATCAACCCTCCTTTTCCCCAACTAGCCACTGTTTTCCGTCATAGAATAGCACAATGAGCTGACAGTCAAAAGAAAAAAAAATGTATGTAAAAAAAAACAAATTTCGAATCAGAGTTTTAGAAGCAGCTGTTTGTTTACAAAAGGTATCCGTGAGGTTCCCTGAAGAAGTGTTGAAAAAGAAAGGGTGAGAGCATCATAAAAAAGTAAAAGTCCAGTAAAAGTTATTTTTTATATAAAGAGGTCAGTGGATAAAGCCAATGCCTTTCAGGGGCTCAGAACTCCATCAGGAATTGAGCCAAAATAATACCAGACAACAGTTAGTTGTACAGAGAAAAGTACGGTAGGTAGATAATAATCAGGTCAGATTGGCAACCTGAATCTTTATCTTCCTACCCTTATAGTGTATAACTTTTGTCAAGTATTATTCTGACTCAATGCCAGCATTCACAATAAAGGTAGAGTTCTGAGACTCCAAAATGTGTTGGCGTTCTCTTCTGATCGTTTGTCATTAAACAAAAATAAACTTTTACTGGACAAATGCAAGTATTTTGGCACTCTTATCCTTATTCTCCAATCTGACCACCAGAAAAGTCACAGGGAAGGAAACATTAATGCTATCAAAAGGAGGCAAAAGCAAAATATCTGGCACAGAAGCCCTCAAAGTGCCATAGAGAATATTTATGAAAGCGTTTTTGTTTAACAATGACTGGAAGTTATGTTAAAAGCAAAAGAATGTGTTCCAGGTGCAAGATGTTTGAAGGACCATGTATACAGTGCAGAGCCCAGATAGCACCAACAAATGTCACAATACAAAGGCTGAAGGAATTCTGTAGGCAAATTGTAAAAAAAAAAAAAAAAAACACTCTCAGGAGATCGATAATCAATATGTGTGTCTCACTGATCTGCTCCTGTATTTACACTGTTCTCACAACTCTCCACACCCGTCAGTCACCGAGCTCACAGCCTCGCCATAGTCAACGGCACATTGTAACACAATTACAGAAAGGCAGAGATGGGAGTGGGACCCTGTGGTTTGCAGAAAGTACAAACAGGGCATAGAACATGCAGCTTGTTGATTCTATTTTCATATCTTGAGAGAATACACATATCTCTGCGAGAAAAAAAAAAAATGCAAAAACATTTTAGCATCCCTTTTCCTTTCTGGCATTCTGCTAAAGCCAGCCATAGATGGATCGAATCTTGGCCAGTTCAGCAAGGACTGGTTGTACCCAAGTACTCCTGGTGGTATCCTGGTTGGGCAGGCTGGTTGTACCCAAGTCGAATCATTTACCAGCTTGGGAATAAGCAGCCTGTTGGATTTTTTACATGTGATTTGTGTCGGCGGCTATAGCCGCTAACAGTAATCACTGCATTCTGCCAGCCAGGATGGCTCCCAGCTGGCAGAATACAACAGCACTGAGAGATAGATTCCCTTATCAAACACTGACTGTGTTGAAGGGGGAATCAACTGATTTTCTATTCTTTCTTTCCTTCCTTCCTTCCCCTCATAGTGGAAGGAAAGAAAAGTGAATCATCTATGGCTTGCTTAACACTTGGTGTCAGGCAAAACGATAACTTAAAAAGGGCCAGTCCATTTGAAGTGGTTATTTCTGGTTTTGGTGGAAAACAGCGAGTTCAACATCCACCAAACAGTCCATCTCAGGACCTTTGGTGGTGTGTTTTTTAATCTTTACTTTCACCCGCAGTAAGCAGTAAAAGCCCTTTTCGCTTATGAAATTTTTTCCACTTTCTATTATTTATGAACATAGACCAGCCTTTCTTAGCCAGGGTTCCTCCAAAAGTCGCTAGGATTTCCTTGAGCAATTTATTTTAACTAATCACTTAACAATAAAAAACAATCTTTTTTAGCTAGTTGTAAGGGGAATAGTTTCTTCTGTCAATATAGGGAGCAATTTTCCAGTTGAACATCATACCAATGTATTGCGAGTTGTAGTTAAATCAATTATTAGGGGTTCCCTGAGACCTGAAGGCTTTTTTTGGGGTTCCCCAGTGTTAAAGTTAAAAGTAATAGTAAAAAAGTTTGTGTTTTCCTCTTATAAAATAATAAGCATATCATACTAACCTGCTCTGTGCAATGGTTTTGCACAGAGCAGCCTAGATCCTCCTCTTCTTCGGTCCCCCACCGACTCTTTTGGCTTCTCCTCTTCTGCCAGTGCCCCCACAGCAAGACGCTTGCTCTGGGGACACTGGTACATGCTTGCTCCCAAGCCGCTGCTGTATGCGCCTATAACAAACATGGAGCAGTGGCTCACCCCACCCCCCCATCTCTCCTCATTGGCTCACTTGTGTGCCTGACAGCGGCAGGAGCCAATGGCTCTTGCTGCTGTCTCAGCCAATGAGAAATGGGCGACCCGGGAGTAGGTCTGCTCTCATGCACAGCGCTGGACAGAGAGGGGGCTCGGATGAGTATTGGAGGGGCCGCTGCACACAGGTTTTTTATCTTCATGCATAAAATGCATGAAGGTAAAAAGCCTTGAGCCTTTACAACCACTTTAAGAAAGGCTGGTTTAAGCAGGTCATGCATTATATAAAATTTTCTTTCCCACAACCACGGTTTGCAGAAAGAAATTGCTCAATTCTCCCATGAACACAGTCAGTGTTGATGGGGTAATCCCTCCTGCTATTGTGTTCTGCCGGCAGAACACAAATGATCACTTTGAATGGCTACAGCCACCAAGAGTGATCGAAAAAAAGAAAAAAAAAAAAAAACCTGACACGCTGGCTGTGCTGAAGTCAGTTAATGGCTCAATTTCAGTACAACCTGCCGGCTATGGATGGATCGAATCTCAGCCGGTCCCTGCTAAACTGTCCAAGATTTGATCCATTTATGGCCAGCTTTAGACTCCTGATGTGACTCCAATGGTGGGAAAAAGATAAAAGGCCAGGAAAATGATCAGAGGTGTTCGGTGTATTGTTTTCTCAGGCACCTTCAGGCCTTCGCGATCCATTGCACTGTAACAAGTATATAACATGCCTAAAAAAGTCATTTACTTTTTTCAGTGCAGAAGCAATGATGACACTCCAAAATTACAAACAACAAACCTGCAAGGCATATGTGATAAGCAGTTTCCAACCTCATCTCGTAGGAGGTAGTTTGGAAGCCTGTGTTAAGAAAATCACAGTTATCATATCAAGCAGACAAACGTCTTATTGGCAGATTCATTCAGTCCATAATGTTGGGTATAAAGCAGTTTTCAGAATTCATATACTGGATAATGAGACAATGTTTAGGGCCTGATGTATAAAAAGTAGACTAAATTGGAATATTATACTCATCTGTAGCAACCATGAGCAATCAGCTCTCA